TACAAGAATATATCCAATTCATCTATTCTTTCTTTCTTTCTTTCTTTTTTTTTTCAGAGTCCCTTGGTAGAATGCTATGGTGTCATAGCTCACAGCAACCTCCAACTCTTGGGCTTAAGCAATTCTCTTGCTTCAGCCTCCCAAGTAGCTGGTACCACAGGTGCCTACCACAACACCCGACTATTTTCTGGTTGTAGTTGTCATTGTTGATTGGCAGGCCGTGGCTGGGTTCGAACCTGCCAGCTCTGGTATATGTGGCTGGCACCCTAGCCGCTGAGCTACAGGCACCGAGCCTCATCTATTCTTTCAATATGGATCTATGTATATATTTATATACACCTCAGTGTGTATTTCCTAAGACTAGGAATCTTCTCTTACATAACTCCTGTACAATTAATCAATATTAGGAAATGTAATATTGATATAATACTTCTATCTAATTTGCTATCTACATTTCAGTATTGCCAGTTGACCTAATAATGTCCTTTACAGCATCCTTTTCTCACCCAGTGTACAGTTCAGTGCATAATCAAAAACTGCCTTTACTTGTTCAGTATGTTTAGTCTTCTTTGATCTTGGGATAGTTCCTTAGCCTTTCTTCTTTTTGCTACATTGACACTTTATTTTATTCTTATTTTATTTTATTTTGTTTTTTGAGACAGAGTCTTGATCTCGCCCCTTGGTTAGAGTGCTGTGGCCTTATAGCTCAGAGCAACCTCAATCTCCTGGGCTTAAGTGAGTCTCTTGCCTCAGCCTCCCAAGTAGCTGGAACTACAGGCCTCCACCACAACACTGGGCTATTTTTAGAGACAGGATCTTGCTCTAGCTCAGGCGGTTTTCAAACTTGTGAGCTCAAACAATCTGTCCTCCTCAGCCTCCCAGAGTTCTGGGATTACAGGCATGAGTCACTGCATCCAGCCTACATTGAGACTTTAAAACTGTATTTATTTATATATACATACATACATACATACATACATACCAGAGTGGGCCCCACTTGGGCCTGTCTGATTGTTTCCTTGTGATTAGATTCATGTTAAGCATTCCCACACAGAATACTCCTTAAGTGATAGATCCTTCTCAGATATACCACTGCTTCTTGAGTCAGAGATGAGTCAGCCCTCTAGCAGTGTATCTGTGGAGCCCAGCTTGAGAACCCTGCTTACCTGCCTTGATCTCATTTTGCCCTAATAACCCTGTGAAGTATATGCTATCTTCATTTTACAGACAAGGACACTGAAACTCAGAGAGGGAGGGGGATCCAGGGACAGCAGCTAGTTCTCATGCAACTCAAAGAGTCTTACCTGGAAACCAGCTGGAAAAGAAAAAACAGAACACCAGATTTGGATTTAGGGTAGAGTCGAGAAGGAGAAAAGGAAAGAGAACAGAGACACACAAATACAGGGACACACAAATATACGAGGAAGAAATACACACACACACACACACACACACACAGGGTGAGGGAGTGAGGCAGGGAGAGGAAAAAGGCAGGAGTGCCTAGAAGAGGCACCAGAGGCAGCAAGGCCTGGCCTGGCCCAGGACAGGAAAACAGAACGGTACAAACAGACTCAGAGAAGGAAGAGCAAGATGAATAATTTTTAGGTCAGTGTTCAGAACACACACAGTTATTCGTTGAGGCTTTAGAATGTTATCACATTGTCCTCTATCTCTGAAATGAATTTGATTTGATGATCTGATTGGTCAGAACCGCCTCCTGGGTTGACCGTTATTCTCCTAATGTCAGCAGCTATGTACAGGACAATATCGGCTCAAGAGCCAGAGAGAACCAGGACACAGTTTTTCTAACCTTTCTGTGCAAGACAAAGCCCCTCACCATATTTTGTCTTGTTTTCGAGTTGGCAGCATCTCTGCGTTTTGATCATAGTAGGTGTCAATGGTCAGGTTCCTATCCACGTTGTGTGCCGAACGGAAATTGGAAACAACACGAGTTGGAACACCCAAGCATCTCATTACTGAAGAGGAAAAAAAGAACAGAGAATCATTGAGTTCATTTCAAGCAGAATTATTGGTTTCCATGCTTAGTTTCTAACTTAAGCTAAAAGAGAGAAAGAAGCCAAGAGTCTGGCTGATTCACACCTGTAACTTCTTTATTCCTAGAGCATTGCACCTAGGCCCAGACCCCTGCTGCCCACCTTTCCCTTCAAAGACCCCTTAAGGAGAAAGAAGTCATTTGAAGATCACTGAAACAATTCAATTCATCATTTAGGGCTTTTCTCACCCAGCAGATTTCCAAGTTAAAAATGGAGAATGTAAAGTCGTGATAATTAAAAAGAAAATTTTAAAAACTTTAGCCCTATGCTATGGCCAGTTTCAAATGGTAAGCTGTGTGACCTAAGGTAAGTGGGCCAACTTCTCTGGGCCTTGGTCTGTTTGTGTTTAACAAAACGAGAAGTTGGACAGGTGATTTTCAGTTCTGAAATTTTGGATCTGTAATTCTACTTACAGGCAAAAGTTAGAAGAAGAACAAGGAAGAAATTAGAGAATTGATGGAAGGGTGGGCTAGACTTTAGAGATGACACAGGGTATCAAAGAAAAGGCAAACCGCATATGATGAGGCAGCAGCGCCACCTTGTGGCTTCTCAGGATAATGCCACTAAAGCTTTTGTTTGTTTGTTTTTTGTAGTTTTTGGCCTGGCTGGGCTTGAACCGGCCACCCCCACAGTATATGGGGTCGATGCCCTACTCCTTGAGGCACAGGCACCACCTACCACTAAAGCTTTTTAAAACTGAGTTAGGATTTCATCAAGCTAGTCCCCACAAAGTAGACACAACTGCCCCCCCCCCATGCTCACCCCCATGCCCATAGCCACTTGAAATCAAGCCGAGAGACAAGTATGACCTTGGGGAGTTAGGTTCCTACCTCCACTAGTGTGGAAAAGAGTTCAAAGAGAGGTTTATGCATCCCTCTCCTTCCCAGGAGGCACAGACAACCACCATGGAAGCTGCTGGGAGGATTATAATGCTTTCAGAAGTAAAAGACTATTGAGAGCAACCAGTCTTCTGTGCCTTTCTCCTGCTCACCCCAGGCCTCCTCCATACACCTACCTGGCCGCTGCCTCCCCAGGACCTCCAGAGTAGTCCTGGCCCCACTTCACAAATGAGCAAAGTGAGGTCCGTTGATTTGAACACTCAGATTTAAACCTCTTTTCTGTCTGCAGGTTATGTGGCCCCTCTCAGAAAAGTCTAGAACTTTGTCTTTGGTTCCTGTCCCCGTCCTCCCCATTCTGTGCTTCCTCTTTCTCCAACTCAGTCAACCGTTAGTTCAGCAAATGTTTGTCTCCCTCATGAGGTAACAAGTCAGCCTGTGAGAGGCGTTCTGGCCTCACAGGGGGAGAGATAGGTAGGTACCTCAGTACTCTCCACCCTTCCCTCATCTGCACAGATAACCTGAATCTATAACAACTTTGCTCTGAAAAAAATTTTTTCTTTTTGAGACAGAGTCTCACTCTGGTGCCCTAGAGTGCCATGGCATTATAGCTCACAGCAACCTCAAGTTCTTGGGCTCAAGAGATCCTCTTGCCTCAGTTTTTCTATTTTTAGTAGAGATGGGGGTCTCGCTATTGCTCAGGCTGGTCTTGAACTCCGGAGCTCATGCAATCCACCCACCTTGTTCTCCCAGAGTGCTAGGATTACAGGCATAAGCCACTGTGCCTAACTACTTTGCTCTGAATTATAACTAAATGTTAATGCATACAACATCAATGCTGGCTCGGCACCTGTAGCTCAAGCAGCTAAGATGCCAGCCACATACACCAGAGCTGGCAGCTTCAAAACCAGCCCAGGCCTGCCAAACAACAGTGACTACAACCAAAAAATAACCAGGCATTGTGGTGGGTGCCTGTAGTCCCAGCTACTTGGGAGGCTGAGGCAAGAGAATGGCTTAAGCCCAAGAGTTGGAGATTGCTGTGAGCTGTGATGCCACAGCACTATACCCAGGGCGACAGCTTAAGGCTCTGTCTCAGAAAATAAAACAAAACATCAATGTGCCTTAAGGGCAGTTAGCAAAGAGGCAAATCTTTAATTATCTCTTCTTGAGAATCTCAGAGGGAGATTCTCTGAGATTCTCTCATTTGGGAGGTCTGGTTCTTTCAGACCACCTGCCTGCACCTTTCTCCAGGATCTCCTTGAGCTGAGAAGCCTGAGCAGCTGGCAGAAAGAAGCCATTTGGCCTCTATTTTCAGACCACAGGCCCCTCTCTCCAGGTGACCATTTTAACAGTTTGGCTGCTCCATCAAGGTCAGCCTCCTCTCACGCAAATGGGCAGGATTCGTGGATGTGCTGGTTAGGAGCCCAGGGGCCCACTGTTCCCAAGCTGTGGGGCCACAGGTGAGCTCTATGAGCCACAATTAACTCCCCTGAGAATGGAAACAAGCACAGCCTGACCTCAAAGAGTTATCATAAAGATTAAAGAGTGATTCTCCACTCACCAGTGCACATAACAGAAGCAAAGACCCAGCACTGCCCATACTTGACAGGCTGCCCGCCCCTGGCCGACCACTGCCGCAAGATGGCCACGCTGCCATTCCACTCCAGAGGGTTGACCCCCCTGGAGTAGTCTTCACTCCAGTTCCCCTGTAGCACGCCATTGTCATCGTTGCTGTTGATCTGCAAAGGACAGACAGATAGGTCCCACAGCACCAGGGAAGCACAGACGGTTCTCGGGACAGGAAGCTCGCATCCTCACCATCGCGCTCACCACCCTGCACACATACACCACGTCGTTCCGCCGCGAACAGTCTTGGGACGGGTTCTTTAGGTAGTACAGGCTCTTGTTCAAGATTTCAAAGCAGATATCTACGATGTCGTCTTCAAACTTCCAGGTGATTTCAAGAAAGACAAAGGAGAACAGCAAATATGTCTAGAATTTTGAAATTTTGTGACACTAACAAATTTTGAAATTTTGTGACCCTAAAGGTCAATGCTAACGTTGACCTTTAGGGATGATGTGTACGTGGGGAGGTGAGGAGGGGTGAAGTATGAGACAAGGTCCTGCCTTCAAAGAGCTTATAAATCTGACTGGGAATTAATTTGATTCAGAGGCCAGGCTAGATGGCTCACACCTGTAATCCCAGCACTCTGGGAGGTTGAGATGGGAGAATCCCTTGAGCTCAGGAGTTTGAGACCAGACTGAGCAAGAGCAAGACCTCGTCTCTACTAAAAATAGAAAAATTAGCTGGGCATTGTAGTGGACACGTGTAGTTCCATCTACTTGGGAGGCCCAGGAGTTTGAGGTTGCTATGAACTAGGCTGATGCCGTGATACTCTAGCCTGGACAACCTGGGCAACAGAGTGAGACTGTCTCAAAAACAAAAAAATTAGATTCAGAATTCTGAACAACTAAACCATGTAGTTCTACTGAAAAATGCACATAGAATTCAGAGAATGGGAGATCCCTGTTGGCTGAAGAGATCAGGAAAGGCTTTTGGAGCCAATGTACTTCAAAGGATGAGGTAGACGGGAGGAGAGGGAAGTGGAGACATTTACCTGAGTCCTTTAAGTATGGTGGGTACCAACTAGTAGTTCCTACTTGGAGGACTTACAGGAATAGCAAAAGATCAGCTAAGTATAGGGATAGGCATAGGTCCAGGCCTTTGAGGAGAGAGAAAAGATGGTGGAGAGTCTTGAAATCAGATTGAGGGAATCAAAGACACTGTGAGCCCTGGGAGAGGCCAGGGTAGGCTCCTGACACACATTCACAAAATATGTTCATGATGTGAGCACAATCCTTTTGGCTGCCAAATGCACAGGTATTCATCTTAGCCTCAAAAAATTTCACAAATTGCCACAGTTGGAGAATAGGGAAAATGTGCCCAACGAGGCTCCCTGCTTCCCCCAGCTCTTCCCTTCTGCAGTCTGTGGACAGGACTGAGATGGCACTGGGGGGAGCACAGAACTACACCCGCCATGACTGAGAGTGGAAAGGTTGACCAGAGCCAAAATCTGGCTCTGTATGTCAAACGTTTGATGTCATTAAGAGATTACTGTTCGCTTTTTCCCCCCAGTTATGGTCATGTATTCTGGTTAGGTTTTTCAGAAAGAGTCATCTTTTAGAACTATTTTCTGAAGTATTAGTGGATTCAATGTCATGATATCTGTAATCTGCTTCCTAAAAATCTAGTGGTGGGATGGGCAGGGGTGAGGGGTGGAGTGCTGACCAGGTTTGGGCAAGCTTTTTCTATAAGGGAGCAGAGAGTAAATATTTTAGCCTTTGCAGACCACAGGGTCTCTTACTCAACAACTGAGTTCTGCTGTTGTGTGAAAGCACCGCAGACCATATCCAGATGAATGAACATGGCTGTGTTTCATTCAAATGTTATTTACAGATACCACAAAATTGAGCTTCATATATTTTTCACGTGTCACAAAATACAATTCTTTTAAAATTATCTTTCAATGATTTTGTTTATTTTTAATTTTTTTGAGACACAGTCTCACTTTATCACCCTTGGAAGAGTACCATGGCGTCACAGCTCACAGCAACCTCAAACTCCTGGGCTCAAGGGATTCTCTTGCCTCAGCCCCTCTAGTAGCTGGGACTACAGGCACCCACTACTTTTTAGAGATGGGGTCTCGCTCTTGCTCATGCTGGTCTCGAACTTCTGAGCTCAGGCAATCCACCTGCCTCAGCCTCCTAGAGTGCTTCTTTCAATGATTTTAAGATGCGAAAACCATTTTTAGCTTGTGGGGCATACAAAAACAAGCAGTAGGCCACATTTGGCAGGGGGACTACAAGACTCACCATAAATCAATCACTTTTAAAGCTGAGAGATGGATCCATGGAGACTCATTATAGTAGCCTATTTAGCTTGGGTATGTTTTAAGGTTTTCATAATAAAATATCAAAAACTAAAAAGAAAAAACGTCTCCTCATCCATCTTCACCCCTGTCACTAGAAGGAAAATTGGCCCAGCACCTCACACCCTGGCTGTTGTTGGCAGCTCTAATGAGCTAATGGAGTTGTCTATAGCTCAATCTTAACAAGCCCACCCCAGGCCCACATCCCGGTGACAGTGTTACCTGCCCAAAATTCCACGGCCTGGAGGTGATGAATCGTTCATGACCATTATAAATAAAGCCATAATCTCTCATGATATACTCCTGCAGCAGCATTTCACTTGGCAGGTAGACATCATCCTCTGAGCAGTTAAGAGTGATGGAAGGAACAAAATCCCAAATCAGAAAATAGAATACTATAATTAAAAACCAGTAAAGACAGTTTCTGGAAGACAAGAGAAGTGATCAGTGGGTTGATGGCAACAGAAACTAAGACTAGTGCTCCTTAAAAAATCTACTATTTACTTTTCTAGAGGCCAGCAATATAGCCTACACTTTAAGGAATTATTATCTTGGCTGGGTGCAGTGGCTCATGTTTGTAATCCTAGTATTTGGGGAGGCCCAGGAGGAAGAATCATTTGAGGCCAGGAGTCTCAGACCCCCCTCTCTACAAAAAATAGAAAAATTAGCTGGATATGGTGGTGCACACCTAGAGTCCCAGCTACTTGGAGGCTGGGGCAGGAGGATTGCTTGACCCCAGGAGTTTGAGGTTGATGTGAGCTATGATGATACCACTACACTCTAGCCAGGGTGACAAAGCAAGACTCTGTCTCAGAAAAAAAAATTATATTTTCCTGATTGTAAAAATGGCAAGTTTACTGTAGAGATTTAAAAAATATAGATAGGCCAAGTGCAGTGGCTCATGCCTGTAATCCTAGCACTCTGGGAGGCCAAGGCAGGTGGATTGCCTGAGCTCAGAGGTTCAAGACCAGCCTGAGCAAGAATGAGACCCCTTCTCTAAAAATAGCCAGGTGCTGTGGAGGGCACCAGTCCCAGCTACTCAGGAGGCTGAGGCAAGAGATCATGCTTGAGCTCAAGAGTTTGAGGTTGCTGTGAGCTGTGATGCCATAGCATTTTATAGAGGCAACAAGTAAGCCTCTATCTCTAAATAAATAAATAAATACATAATATAGATGGACAGAAGGAAGACAATGGAAATCAATCATTCCTACCACGCAGAGACACCCCCCATGGGGGTCTAGCCACTTTCTCTTTCTGTGTGCATATATTTAACATAATTAACATCACTGTTCCACTTCCTGAGATATTTCACTTAATATCACACCATGAATATTTTCATCATAGCATTAAAATTTCTTTGTAAAGATGATTTTTAGTGAGAGCACATGGGAATATATTACATAGATATACAGTGATTTATCTTCTGAATTTTCTCCCAGGAACTTCACAGAGCCTTCCCAATGGATCAAGTCAGCCTGTAAGCAAGTCCTACCTGTACTCCAAGGGTTAAAAAGTAGGATGAAAGTCCCCAGAGGGTAAGTCACACTGTGGCCTTGGCCCTGAGAGGTCGCTATCTTCAGAGTGTAATGGCCAATGACTGCATTGGCTGGTGTGAAGATGGAGACTTGGAGAGAACTGGAGTCCGTGGTGTAGTCAGAAGCACCCCAGACACTTGCATGCCAAGTCTGGGAGAGTGAGAACACTGCCCGGGTCCCCAGCAGCTCTGACGGCTCAGGTCCTGTGTCGGAAAGAATGACCCCAAAGCGAGGCTCAAAAATCTCCGTGGTGTATGATTCTAGGGAGGATGAAAGGACCCTCACCTTCTCCCACTACTTGCTAATCCTTTTAGCTTTTACTGCTATTGTAAAAACTACTTAAGATCTCTGCGCCTTACTTTTTTGGTCTGTAAAGGGGGAGTCACAATAGTACCCACCTGAGAGTCTTGTCATAGGGATTAAATGAGGTTACACACGTGAAGTTTTATTTTTTTTTTATTTTATTATTATTTTTTTGAGACAGAGCCTCAAGCTATCACCCTGGGTAGAGTGCCATGGCTTCACTGCTCACAACAACCTCCAACTCCTGGGCTCAAG